TCCTGAAGAGTATTATAGCACTCGAAAGCAGAGACAATGAGGGTCATTTGGCTGTCAAGTGGGATCCTCAGCATTACTTAGGAATCTCCATTTACTCAAGTCCAGTTTGAGGGGCGGGCAAGGGTCCTCGTACCTGTGCATTACATTTACGTATTTCTGAGATACTCTCAACAGCTTTTCTTCCTCAATTCTGCCTATCGCCATTCTATGGTCAATATGATCCATTTGTGCCCCCCAAAGGTTGAGCGCGCTGTTACCAGAGTGTCCTACAGAGCTATGCTCCTCAGGTCATGAGGGAAACTACTGATGGAACAGCTGGGCAGGACCCTTGCCTTGAAGCACACTTTGATCAATAGATGCCTAGCTAATCAATTGACTCAGTTCACTTCAATCTTCGAATCACTAAGCTCAAGACATCCTCTCGGGTTGTCAAAGGCAAATGTCCCAACATCAGCCCCCTACCGTCAATTAAAGGGTTCCAAGAGGGCAGGCTGCTCCCGTGAGCATGGCTGCATTAGCAATTAGTAGTCTTGGCTTGAATGGCATTCCGGGCAAACCAGCCTCGAAGGCTGATTCAGTCAGATTTATCTCCAGACTAGGGAGGAAACGCTAATCACAAAGATCCACCTTAGTGACTCGCCTAGCGATTAGCTTTGCAACGCTGACCCAATTGGGAGCACATCTTGATCCTAAATAGGTAGTAGAATATTGAGGCTAGAGCTAAAACAGGTGGAGCAGGTCGCGTCGTGTTCTGCGGCAAACGCCTGACAAAGCCTTGTTCTGATCATCACTCTTCTTCCATTATGAGATCAAGTCAAGTCAACTTTGCACCCTGGCAATTATCTTCCCCTACGAGGCTTAAAGTGGGTCGATAAACTCAACTCTGTGATTAGTTACTTGCTATCAGTCAGCCAACCACGCTACCAACGGCACAAAACAGAGAGCGGGGTAATGGTGTATCTCCATTCCAGCAACAACAACACCTCAAGTCAAATATCGGCTGCTGAGTCAACTGCCACTTGTCTGCACCGTCTCGATCGTTATCCTGAGCTGAGAATACAAGTCCATCAGCATCAATGTCAAGCACTGTATCGAGCGTTGGGGTGATGACACCTCGCACCGTTTCTGAAGCTGATCCTGGCGAGAACTGGCCTGATGATTCAAGTGGAGGAATAGACACACCAATATTCACACCGGCTTCAACGGATATTGGTGTAGCCTCGCCTGGTTCTCTTGGTCTCACTCGCAAATCTAATCCTCACCACAACGGCAAATATCTAATCTACGACGTTGCCCGTGGCCGCGTCCTCACGTGCCACAATGGCCATCTACGCCTCGAGTGGATGGATCTGGAGAAACCCCAAACATACATTTCTGAGCAGGCACAGTGGCAATGCAATGAGAGAGACGGATTTAGAGGTTTTAAGAATATTGCCATGGGGTCCTTTCTGGGTCATGACTTTTGGTGGGATTTCTACGCAAAGGTTTACCATCACAAAGGCTGGGAGGATTTTACTCTACGCCATATGGAGGGTGGCGTGTACCAAATCCAGGCCTTGGACTTTTGGAAGCAGAGACAGGTTTCTGCTAAGGAGGATGGAAGTGGCTTGTTTCGAGACGATGACGGTGGCACTTTGTGGGAGTTTATCAAGGTTGCGGGCTGATCATTAGTGACCTAGATGCACAATCAAGACCGCCTGATTTCAGAAATTCTCTTCCGCTATCAACCAAGTACGGCTGTATGTCCCATTTCTCAGCTCAACTCAACATTGAGCTAGACTAACTTGCTTCACCTGGCCGCAAAGGTGTGCTTACTAATTGTGCAACGGTCGACTTATCCAAACAAGTAGGAGTGGACACCGAAGGAATATATCAATATACATATTGATATGCCCCTAAACCGATAAAGCTTCCTAAGGGCATGAAGACTTAGCTGCGCAGGGCGGCACTGACCTGTGCCAAGGTTAGCCTCAAAGAACTAATTCCCTCAGCCGCGCTAAACGGATGCTCCTATGATACCTAGAGGAACTTCGAAGCTGAAGCTTAAGTCAAGAGACATCCCAATACTGTTTTGTTAATCCGCCTTATAAAGTTCGACATCGTGTCTCGTGCTTTAGCCCAAACGCGTTCTTAGCCTGGCTGTCGTACTGATGGATATGTTTATATTTCCCAGGGGATGGAAAACCTTCAGTAATATCTGGTCTCCTTCGTGGACTCCGGTCGTAAGGTTAGTTGTTCATGTTTTGGCGCGTTGCAATTTCCTGTCATGATAATGATGCAGGGGGGAAGTGGGCGCCGCCGTTGATCTGGCCTAGGGTAGCCCGGGGGTGGTAAACGAGAAGGCTTCGATACAGCCGCCTGGCCATAAAAAGCGTTGCAAAGAGGTCAAGATAAACTTATTTTCCCCAGTTCACACACTTGGTCAAGACAAAACTACATTACTAACGCCCTTTGCGAGATAAGGGCTTCGTGGTTGCTCTATATCATGCACGCGTTGGAAAGACTCAAGACGGAGGTGATCGGGGGCGGTCCAGACCCCCTCGTGGTTTCAGAGAATAGCCGATATTTAGCACGACTTTAGTGACGTGAGAATGAAGAGAAGGATGAAGTTCAAAGTAGATAGCCAAGGCAAACATGAGATCCCACCAGCTCAAAGCTAGAGTTTTAGTGGGAACGAGGAAGAGTGCGAGTGTTGCTAAATAGACGTAGCCTGACGGTCCTGAGCTGAATCCGAGTAGTGTGGTGCCGGAATGTCAAGAAACATGTGAGGATTTCTCGCAAGAAGACCAACATGTCGACGGCCGGAATCATGTGTGGGGGGGCCTTCAGAAGACGCTTTCTCAGTGTCATCAGTGTGTCTATTGCAAAATTAAACTCTCTCAGCATGGCGGTCGCAGCACAATGGAGCCTAGATTCCACTGTGAGCGTTGCTCTTTCGATCTCCCGAGGAATTTCTCATGTAGATACAAGAAATAACATCCAACCTCTAGCATTGCTAACCTCCGATGAGTTTAGTTCTACCATCCCCATGTGCCATGAGATTTGTCGTAAAATCGAAACCGATGTTCTTCCAACAAATCCACCAGCCACCATTGGTTTTCTTAAGAAATTCTGTTGGCCATTCTCACAACTACAACGCTACTCAACTTGGAAAGAGCGCATCTGGCATAAAATTCCTTGGTTCAGCAGCAGCCCTGGTGACAACTGTAGGGCCCTTTGAAGCAGCATCAGCGTTCTATGTAATGCTAAAGAGTGTCGCCCCCAACAAAACGCTACTTGAAACGACGAAGTAACCTAGCGCTTTATTGTCTGCTTTGGAGGTAAGGCTATTCCGGTCTCGATTCACTGATTTAGTTCTAGGTTGGCACAGATTTTCATGCCAGTACAATAACTTAGACGAGAACTCAAACACTATCTTACGAGAGGATACGGTCTTTCCCAGTGCAAAGGCAGTAGATGTACTCATCGAAGCTTTCCGACGGCTGTTAAGAATCGGAAAAGCATCTGTTTCGAGGATTACCATTCATACTACATGTTTCGTCCCGTGGATTATCCCATTCATTCAATGGATACCAGAGTACCTTCCCCTGTCTCCTTAGAAGATAGAAAATCTGTGATTGATCCGAATCTAAACGTTGACCTTGTTATCGGCCTTGATTCTTCCGATAAACTTGCATGGTTCTGTACCGGCCCTTTAACAGTGAAGGTTCATCACAATGTAGGGAGTCCAGAGGAGCCCATTGAAGAGCCCTCTGAGATACGTAACTGATGGACCGGAATGAAGAGCATTGAGAATTGCGGCGAATGGTTATTGGATACATGTAACATGGATCGAGGGATGTATTTTATGCTCTCCAACAATGTCTTCCGTAAGCCGCAAAGGAATTCCTCAACAAGGTCAAATTCGACAACATTACATCAAAGCTTGGCAGGGCCCTAAAGAAGCACGAGGTAGAAGACAGATCTCGAACACAGCAATTCCGAACTATCCCCTTTGGCAGTGATAGTATCGTATCAAAAACTCTCTTTCGCATGCCAAATGGAAAGGCAACGGATCAACCCGGAGAAAGCTCTGAGCTACCATAATTGGATAGTGGAAAGGAATAATTGATTTGCTTTTGGTAAAAGCTCACCTTGCATCGCTCAAGGCACATTGTACATGCCGGCAGTACAGGCCCTAGTCGAGCAACATTGATCTCTACGAGGCCGATGTTTTCTTTTAAAAAGAATACTATATAATAAGTTGGCCTGTGATGTTATTAAGATATAGTAGTTTCTTATTTGATAGATCTCTTTTGCCTACCTTAATCCGCTAGCAGGAACTAATTTTTGATCTGCCCTCTCACTGGCTGACTAATTCGAGAGCTGGTTGGTGTTTCCGATATTCTCCCGGTAGCGCTGAGTCTGGCCACAAGAGGGTGCAATAAGCGCCGGCCCCCTCTTTTCCATTTCGGCCGTCGGATGAACGCAGTAGCCGGCCATGGTTGACTGTTCTTCCATTCGAGGTGAAATAAGGCCAAGATCTGAACCCCGACCTGCATTTGACCCTGCACCGTCGCTCAAGCACTTAATCTCTTACTGCAAAACTTCAACCCAAAGTCTATTCATCCACTACCACTTCCTACATTCTTCACTTCCTACATTCAATATGGAGTACGATTTCAAACCCGACCTGCAAGACGTGCCTTCGAGCATCGACCGGCCCACCCACAAACTCAAAAATATTACGGTTGGCGAGTGTGGCGTACAGTTATTATTGTCAACCAGAGACCATCTGTATGATGCAGAGAATGTTGAAGCGGGAAACCATTCATGGCAGGTCGTTGGCGCTTGGGAAGAGTCATCAGTCAAGGACCTCGCGCAAATGCTAGGCAGTCGTCAAGCAGCTGCCCCCCGCCAGAACGCTGAACCGTCAAATTTCAAAACCGGGACGGGAAAGAAGCTTGGAGTAATAAATGATATTCGGCAATAAGGAAGAAAATTATTTATTGAACAGTTAATCAGCGGCGAGCATACGCTGAGGCACATTCATCCATTAGCTCCTCCGTTGAGTCATCGGCGTCTGGAGACTCGATGTTTTGGGTCGTACAGATACCAGAAGCTATTTGAATAATGTCTTTCGATCCAAACGCCTGAACAGAATTGTGTTTTGCAGAAACTTTTGAGATCACCGATCCTTCCTGGGTCTCAAATAACTGATGGCTACAACTTCCCGTTTCTATGTTGCGAATGATTATTGTAGGCTGCTGCTGACGAGCCGAGCTTGAAGTGTTTTTGCTAGCTGAAATAGAACCTGTGTTTGACTAGTCAAATCAAAAGCCTTCATTTAAAGGTCGTGATTCACAGTGCTGCAGCCAGTACGTACCTGGAATTGTCCTCGAAGGCACAACAGTAAGGAATTCCTTTGTGCACGCTGCTGCTGCATTTGCAGCGTGTGTTTGCCATATATCGTTCTTATGAGAGTCCGCATAGTCACTCAGCCCCCGTATCGATAAACAAGTGAAGCTGTCCATAACACCTGCTGCTTCCATATCGATACAGAGAACATCAAGCTCTTCTGCAATTCTGTCCCTTTCTATAGCGTTTCTTACAACCCGGTTTCCTGATGCAATCCTTCCGTAATGGATGTGAGGTTCTGCTGATCGAGGTGCCCGTCGTCTGTGGTTTTGCTGGTCGCAAAACTCGCAATTCTGTGCGGGAGAGTACTCACAGTCACCGCAAAATAACACGTCTAAAGCCGGATCGGGTGCAATGTATTCTTTTAGACGTTGCAAAATATTCGAGATGTTCTTCTGATGCTTTTCATGACCAGCCTTGAACGTGGTCAAAGCAGTGCGTACATTCGAATCTGGACGGCGAGCAATGCCTTTAAGCTGAACATGATCGTCGAAGCTTTTGACGAGATCGTATTGAATGACCTCATTACCTATCACCACGTCCCCCAGACGTGGGTTATGCGGTCCAGGAACACCACCTCCAATGCCAACCATCAACATCAGAGTTATAGAAGGAAAAGTTCGACGCAAGTGGGTAGCAACTATGGCGGCGTTGTTGTTACCGGCTCCGCCGTCAGGGAGACAGGCCAGAACAATGTTATGTTCGCCAATTCTCCCAAGAACGTATGTGTTGCTGTCATGGGTATCTTGATCGCAACTTCCGTGTGACGCATCTAACATACACTCCGCGGCAGTTAGTTCAATGTCTAGAGCGCATATCCAACCGACAGAATAATTTTCTGGCTGGACTTTTGGTCGCGACAGATCTGCCATGCACAGTTCGGAACTGTCGCCTCGATCTTTTTCGTGCTTCTGCCTCTTACGCTCTGCGGATGGTGTTGGGCTTCTGTCGGCATCGCTATGGCTTCGGCCTCTCCGCTTCGAAGGCATCGGGACTGCAATGTGATATCTTTCCGGACTCTGCAATACGATATTTGATAACACTAATGAAGTGATCTCTGATATTGTCGATGTAACAAAGCAGGACCATATTCAGCTCATCTGTAACATGCAGTCTTTGTGAACAATCATGTATGGTGTCCCCGATAGGTCGACTACAATACGAAGCTCAGGTATGGTGGATATTCTAGGCTACATTGTGATTGTTATTCTTGGCACTGAGCGGTGAGTGACCTTGTTCCTGGCTAATCCATTTGATTGGTCAGTGGCTCGGCGGGTAATACATACAAAATCCCCTGGCGCTTGCAGCAGGATTGTTATTGGGTGTTTGAGTTCTGATATAAGCGCCCTGGCTTGTGACGACATGATTAGTGGCGCTTGGAGCTGAAACCCCGGGCTTTATGGAAATGCTTGGTCAGTCTTTCCAGGGTTCCACTGTTGGCAGGTCGATTACTTTACAAACAGTAAAGCGTCTTGTAGCATACAGCCCTTGAGCACCAGACTCCTTCAGTTAATTGTAAAAGTGACACTTTCTGGGAGGTGTAACGAGTGTAGGTACTTACGAATTGTTTTAGGCATTTCTTATAAACCTCTATAGCCTAGTTTCTGACCTTTATGCAGCTTAACTTAGGTTAATAAGGCAGCTATAGGGCAAAACCTATTAATAAAACTGTTTTACTTTATTATAAAGGTAAAAAAGGCTTTATTTAATTTATAAAAATAATAATTAATTAAGAATTTAAAATCTATTATAATCAAATAAGATATTATTTATTTTTTATATTTTTATATTTACTTAAGTAAATAGAAAATTAAATATATTATAATTTATTTAACTTTATATATTATATTCTTATAATATTAACTAGAAATAATTTATAGTTTATTTATATTTTTAAATACTTTATATATATATTTAAAGCTTTATAATAAAAAGTAATAGTAAAAAGTCTAATATTAATTTAAAATAAAAAAATATAATAAAAATTCTTTAATATCTTTATTAAATTAAATATTAAAAAACTAAAACTTATTTTATTTTATATTTTATTAAGAATTATAATTTTATTAATATAACATTATATATTTTCTAAGAGCTACTAATCTTACTAATTATATAGAGGTTAGCCTTATAGTACTATATAGCAAGAAGAACTTTTAGCATGCTGCTTGCTATAGTAGTCAATCTATCAGCATGACTGAGTGCTCTATATGGAAGCGACTGTTACGTGAGGAAGACAAGTTGTCACGTGGGAACGAGGTATCGGTCTGCATTGGTCTCAAGTTTGAGATGGCGAAATGGACATTCGATTGATAGTTATCTTATGATACTATCTCTGAATCTTTGGAGAAGAGACGTTTTATTTCACACAGGCGATGCCGTTGCCATGAGCCAAGGGGACTGTTACTATTGTGCGGAAGATTACCTGTATATCAATTACCAAGGTCTATAGACTGAGGTAAATCACTGAGTCGTTTTGCCGGCGATGTGCTGGTCGGCAGCCAAGGGCCGCTTTGTGGACTTTGTTTGGCCGACGCCGAGATGTTGTAGAGCTTTCCAACGATGACTTGTAATGTTGGGGAGGTTGGTCGGTCTCGAGGAACCCGTGTGCGTGGAATCGATGTGCGATTCAAGCAGACTTTCTTTCATGATCTCTTGACTTGTTGCTGTTGATCATTACCTTTATCGCGAGCCTGATGTAGCAGATCTCACAGACGGCGAACACGCTAGTGAGAGCAGTGAAGCGAGCTTTGGCTCTTCGTTATATTGGACGTGTTGAGAGGCGGGGAAAGAAACTTGTGCTGTTGACATGCAGCTGTTGTACTTTAACCTTGAGCGATCGTGGCATCGAACAAGCGTGGCGACCCTCGATGTGACGAGCGAGTGGCATTCTGAGAGCATGTTGAAGGAAGCGTCCCTTTTACACAGAGGTAGGACAGATTCGAAAACAGGATCATGAGGCGTACGGGCAGATAACTAGAGCAGTCGGACGACCGAAAGATTGTGACTAGTATTGTGTATATATTTGTGGGTTTCGCTTGGTTGCTGAACAAGTCGACTTGTCGTGGAGCCTGTTGGTCGTTGTGTTTGGGGAGGCGGTCGGCAGCACTTTACCGTGGGAGTCTCGAGGAACTTGTGTCGGTAATGAAAGAATATTGGGTGGCGACGATGCTGACAGTGTAAAGAGGAGAATAGAGAGGAGGAAAGGGACTTGGGCAAGGAGCGGCGCTGCGAACAAGGTGTCGAACGGCTCAACTACCGAACACATTAGCTCTGAGAATGGATGGCACCCAGGCATCTCACCAATAAGGTGCTGCCCTGGCTCGCTGCAGAAGCCAACACGAACGAGACATAAAGCCGCTGGCATCGGACAGCGGCAAATACGAAGGAGTGGTGCTGTCCTACAATCCATTGTTGCTTCCAAAGCGTCGCGCGCTTCGAATTTGGCGGTATTGGTTCCTAGGCTATCGGCTAGCCCAATCGTGTTCTAGGGTCGAATGGCGAGTTGGTCGGAGGCGATGAGGAGATTGTCGCAGCAAGCAGAAGGGAAGTCGGAACTCGAAGTTGCGCTAGTACCCAGAGAAGATGACGCTCAAACCTGTATAGAGTTAGCCAGATAGTAAGAGTGTAGACGCACCTGGTCAACATAGCACACACAGCCCAGGGGACCAAAGATCAAACCAGTTACTGCACCAACCGGCAACCTGTTGACTCCCGAATCACAGCCGGCAAGATCAAGCGCCAGGCCCCCGAATCACAGCCGGCGGGCGCTGAACCAGGCCCCGTCTACAGTGCCCCGGTTGTTCCAAGAAAGGAGGCATCGCGCTCGTTTGATGGGGTACAAGTCGGAATTTTATAGCGGCCTGTAGTGGCGGTTCACCGGGTCTTTGGACTTGTGCTGTGTTTTGTGTTGTGTTGTGTTGTGCTGCAAAGAGGGAAATTTGGTGGTGAGTGAGAGTTGGAGATGAAGTTGGAGAGGTGAGGGGCAGAACAAAATGCACGTTGCGCGTTGCGGGGCAGCTAGAAAACGCGTGATCATGTGATATGTTCTGACAGTGGCAGATTCCATTCCATAGCGCCACATCTACGGTAGGCCGGTGGCTAATAGAACAGCCACACGGCGAATCTTCCAGCCCGAGCCAATGTGTGTTATTGTTGCCTAGGTACCAGGTGAAGTCAATTCACTGATTTACTCGTTTTCAGGTGAACACAACCTTTCATTCGACCTCATTTCTCCCAGAACAACATCTTCGTGTCCTGCGCGACTCAATCAAACATGTCAGAGATAAATACTCAAATCTCTACGGCCGCCGTCGTTGGCTGGCCAAGTGGTGATAGCCTCAAGTACCTGGCCGAGCCAGATCCAAAGCAGAGCAGCCTGACATTCAAGACACGGATCGGTAATACTTCATCCCTCTTCGAAATCTGGGTACCTATCCATCTAAAGCTTACCGACAAGAAAGCACCCAAACTCTCGTCCCTCATTTTGAGTATACCGCTCTCGACCATCGAGACCTTTTGTTTTCAGATCCTCGCGACAGTCCCTCAACCCGCGGGGGGAAAACTGAGCTCTAAGGTCCTTGGCCTCGATTTTAAGCTCAATGAGAATATTGCGGTCCTTATTCCTCTGCACGCGAAAGAACAGCCGGCCCAAGGCAAGACGCAATCTGGTGTTGTTATCGATTGTGTTCGCCAGATAGCACAAATAAAATCTTGCCACGTGTATATCGATCATACTGATTCACATGAGGCTGGGCTAAGTTCCATACGCAACGCAATAAATGGAGGCCGATACCGATCCACTCGCAAAAGACAGCTTGACCTGCAGAGCCTATATCAAGGTCAAGGCGCCCGGATTGCTCGTTTCCCTGCCCCGTCGGACAGAATACCAGCCTACGATGATGTGCCATCATCTTCTTTGGACACAGCAACACAGAAGAGAAAGAGGCCACGGCGAGAGCTAAATGACCAAGAGAGTGAGACAAGCACGGCGGGCGCTGAGACTCTTGAATCCCTGAGCCAAAAGATGGCCACCTTCGAGTTATGGAAGACTTCCTAAGAGGAGGAGAAGCTCAAAGAGAGGGTAGTTACTTTAGAAAAGGAAAAGATACGACTGGAAAAAGCCCTCGATGACCAAAAACGAGGACCAGGGCCACGCGTAGGCATGACTACATCCGAAGGTAAGACGGTTGAGGAGGCATTTGAAACAGCACAAAAGGAGATAAAGGATCTACGAAGGAGAATCAAAACAGCAGAGCAGGAGATTGAAGCCCTCCAACGACAAAACGACAAAGTCAACCTCGAAGACTATGACGCAAAGCTTTTGGAGGTACAAGAGGAGGTAAAAGAGCTCGATGAAAAGTGTTCAGGTATCAACGACAACATGGTCACTCGGGAGAATTTGAAAGATTTTGGAGAGGACTTTAGACAAGCTATCGGGAGAAGGATATCGGGTGATGACTATTGATGGTACATCTTGAAAGAGAAACTGGATAGTTGGGCATGTTGGTCAGGTCCTTGGGTAGCTTTTTATGTATCCTACGACTCCGTTAAAAAGAGCAGACGTCATAGAGGGCAACATTGTCTCATCAACAGAAGAAGTCATCGTCAAGATCAATCACACAAGTCTCAACAACACATGTGCCAACAGGATATAAAGCTTGGTTTCTAAGTCTTGGGGGCAAGAAGCCAGGTTCGGACTCATCCAACGATTAGGAGAAGTGGAAGACGGAAATGTGGTTTATATGAGGATCGAAGAAACTGGTATAGAAATCTTAAAATACCCTATTTATCAATAGCGTCTTCTCTGCTCGAGTCATAACGCCGGCCGTTGATTTCACCTGCTGTAGCTATCTACATCTATTGGAGGTTTGTCTTACACACTACCTTACCCATCCTACCGAGAGTGATGCGCACAATAAAAGCAAGACTGGCCGGCCAGACTCTATACGTGAAATGCGCCAACAAAACATCTACCTTTTGAATTGATTCAAGTTTCGCCGTGTTTTATGTTCTAAGCGAAAGAATGACGTTCTATTTCATCGTGTAGGCTTGGTTCATTGGTTGGTGCTCAGAAACTGGTTGGCGGTCACGACGTGTTGCCACGCATTCCCTAGCACGACCCCGTCACTATAATCTGATTGCTCTTCCAGCGAAAAACACGGCTCCTGCGATGAATACCCCCTAATTCCACTGACAAGAAAGCATAACACCCATTTCCAACGCCAAGAGGGTTTGCGTCAAAAGGAGCCAACCCTTCAATCAAGGACAAACCATACTTCTTATCGTTGCTGTAAATAACCTCACGTTTCTGTTTCGATATAACAAAGGTATGTATGCTATGCTGAGAATCCTGGGAACGGGCTCCGGCCATCGAAGGATTAGTTGATGATGCTCCCAGTGAGAGATTCTACAGGAAGAGCAGCCTTGCCAAATAATGTCTTGAACGCTTTGCCTCGTTGACGTTGGGGAACGATAGCTCAAGAAGGCTTAGCTTGAGAGTCTTGGTTATACTGAGTACCTAGAAATAAAGACTCATTCCTCCACAGGCTGTTACCTGCACCGAAGACCGAGGCCAAGTTAGGACTCATTTCTTTGCGTTCCACCTGCAGTAAGCGCCTTATATCAAGTCATTTATTAAAACCGTGTTGATACTGGTTGTGGAGCATTTCTGTCTTGTTGCGCGAAAATAAAATATCTAGTGAGAGGTTCTTTTCGATTCTGTGAATGCTTCTCCCGAGTCTAGTAGACTTCAGTATGGGGCGGCAGCTATTGAGAACCAATGAGTGATGTCCGCGCTCACATTCACAGTGACAATGACAATACCTAAAGTCAGGTAACACAGTATTTGCCCAGGCACACATCTTCCATCTTCTCGTGTCCTTCTCTTCGTCCCATCAACACAACGTCAGAAAGATAAGGTATAGGCCACACTGCAACCGGAACAGAATTCCGAAACTCATCCTCAGGACGAGCGCGTCCGCCTCCTATCGATGAAAGATCGGGCAGTGCAGAAGAGACTCCCTCGCTTCCTCGCCGATTTGCTGAGAGGAGCAGGGCTTGTCAGTCGCCTGTTGTCCATATGGCAGGATGTTTTCCGTGCTTTCGGCTCTTTCGTTGGCTCGAGTTTGGGTGTTCAGCGTATGCCAACTTACTGGGTGCCTGAACATCCTCCACGTCAACAAAGACTGATGTCTCCGACAATGAATTCTTTTAAGCCGGCAAGTACATTTTCTACCCTAAGCTGTGCTGAAGTTTTACCTTTTGGAGATATGTCATCTTCACAGATTCCTAGCTTGAGGTCGAGGCCGTCACTCTTGAATAGGAACTGGAGGTCGAGATCCATGTTACTCTCGAGTAGGAATCAGAGAACGAGATCATGTATCTAACTGAGCCTCTCTCTGCATCTGTCGAAAAGGCATTCGAGCTTGTTTTCAAGCCCGATGATCAAAATCAGCGAGGATTAGTTGCCTTTAAGTTGCCTCTCTACCTTGAAGGCACGGATCACTAGCATAGCCAACTGGGCGTGGCCTGTGCATATCGATAAGCTCACATGAATCGTGATAGTTGCAGGTCACGGAATGTGAGATGAACCTGGAAATCATGAGAGTCCAAAAAAAGTGACGATGCAATTACCTAAATGTTACCCGAAGCACAACACCAAGTCTATCTCTAGAGAAAACCCCAAAATTCATCAATACATGAAAAGCGACAACATCCGTCGGCACCAACACAACACCTCAATTACATCCTCGACCGCATCGCGCACAGCCGACACAACCCATCTCATCACCCTCCTCACACTGAGGTGCATCTTTTCGGGTAAAGATTCCACCACCCGGTCCCTTGTAGCACGACAGGTGACGCTCGTACTCAAAGAACATGAACTGGTGCTCGGCAACAGGGCGAATGATGTCCTGCAAGACCCAGGAGAGTTGACCTCTAGGATATCCTGCCCAATGGACAAGATATTCGCATTTTCCAGTGCGGTAAATCTTTCGAGTACCAAGGACTTGTCGAATGACTGAGTTGTCGAAGGTTATGTCTGACGAGGGAGATCCTGGAAACTTGTCTTGTTCTTGAATGAACGAAGGATCTCGTGGATCTTTGCCGTCACAAAGTGCATCGTAACTCGGCCAATAGCCAGGGGCGCTAGGCATTGGCCAACCGTTGATAACGGAGGGTTGGCGACATTCCAGGTATGCAGATAGAGGGCGTTTGGCGCCAAGAGATAAACCTTCGGGACCAAGAGCTGACCGCCGACGCTTGGCGGAGTCATGATGTCCCTCATGATCCTCCAAGTAAGCCTTTACCGCAGCCCTTGCCCGATAGCCAAAGCTATCGAAGGTAGGGAATTCATGGGATTGCTCAGAAAGCGGAGAGATCGGGGACTCAGGCGTGCTCAAGTCTAAGCTCAGATTGTTTGTAATATTATGGAATGGCATTAATGAGGTTACTTACCTGCTCGACGATAGTCATCTGGAGTCAGGTTGAAGAAGACGGGGTCATTGAGCAGGTCAGACATGTTGACTCTGTTCAGAATTTGTTATGGTCTGCAAAATGATCAGAAGCTGAGATTGAGTTGGAAAGATCATAGTTGGGAATGCCGGCGCGATGAAGCGTTTTAAGTATATCGGACAACAAAGCTCTTTGATGAACTTGCTGCATGCAGTGAGCTCTGTTTGCTGCAAGTCTGGATTTGCATCACTGCAGGATAAAGACTGAAATTGCGGTGAATTCAAATTCCTTTGAGCTTTTAATGCACATCTGTGTAGATATCGTTTGTCTCACTGCAGTATAAAGAATGGGCTTGCGTTGAATTTTGTTTTTTCTGAGATTTTCAAAGCATGCCTACGGGCCATGAGAAGACAAGGAAACATGAGGTCAATGATTGATGAAGGCAATTTAAAGGTCTTGAAAGCCTGCATTTGGCACATGTAATGCTTGTCGCATAGACCTTTGTTCCAAGTCACGAAAGGTGAATGACAAGTAGAACATATATCCATGTAGTTTTGCTTGCATTCAAGCAAAGTCTCTGTTACGACCTCCGCTCATGATGGTGAAGATGCTGCCAGGCGGTGTCAAGGTGGAACCAACTTCATGTTTAGCGTCTGCGAACCCAGCAACACTTAATGACACCAGCTGATACTGTATTAACGAAATTAAATGTGGAAGTTGTCGATAAGTGTACTATATGGCTCTTTTGCGCATCTCTTCTCCTTTTGCTGACATTTATTGAAGTCTAAACTCCTGGTGCTCTAGTATAGACTGCATGTATGTAGTTTAAAGTGAGCATTTGCAATTATACAAGCCAACAGATGAACCATATCAGTAAATCACCAACCAATGATAGACAAAAAGTTCTTCATATGTCCGAGTGGCGCAGTACAATTTTTAACAGATGCCATTTGTCCAGTTTATTCACGACACATAAGATCAAGGCCCTCTACAGCTTTAGTATATGTGCAGTCTGAGTTTGGACTACACTTATGCAGTGTAAAACTACGTAAATCTAGTATGAACCTCAATGCTTGGCAGCAGAATATGTGCCTCACAACCACGAGACACTTTGCTCTCATTTGCAGGCGAATACAAACTCATATTCCACTTCCACCACCTAACTAGAGTACATTCTTGTGTTCCTAGGGATCAAGAATCAATTGATCAACATTTCCTTGTCTCAGTCAGACCGCTCGTCTTTCCGTCAGAGTCTCCGCTCATACATGAGATCATCAACGCCTAACTCACCCAAAAATCGAATCCAGATTAGAGATAAATCCCCAGGGCTCTCCAAGGAAGAACCTAAATGGCCGATGAAACCTCAGGCGGCCACTCAACCCATTGCATAGCATATCCAAAAGTCTCAGCGAGCACGAGCCATACAGTTGAACGGTGTCGCAGGAAAAGGCTCTCGCTCCATCCATATTGTTCGATTGCCGAACGGGTTTCAACGGCCAAGATTCATGCTAGTACGGTAGCGATACGCATGGCACAAGAGGGAAACTTGACAGCGACAAGCTGCAAGACATAAGGGACGACGCCGAAAGTGAAGCAGTAGACCGGAAACCAAATTCGCAAGGCGAGGCCCTGGTCTGTGTAGGCCCATGACACTGCGAGGTTGGCGCCAAGGCCCGCAAGGACACCTGGCCAGCAAATCTCGACTTTAGGTTGTCCTGCGGGAGAGGGAAGGAGGCTGAGGATACGGGTCGGCATTATGACGGAATAGAAGAATACAGCAGGGACAAGAAGAAGCATGTGCGTGAGGCCGATGTGGCCTCCGGTAAGCATGGCAGCAAGATTCCAGAGGCAAGGGTTGATAGGAGGGGTTCCTGGCTCTAGCTGAAAGATTGGCTCGGGCCAAAGCCAAGCAACTGAAAAGAATTAGTGATGCTAACCGAGTGTTCTGGAATATCTTACCGAGCGAAACAAGTGCTAGCATGTTTGCACGTAGATAAGATGAATCGCAGTAGAATATGAGTTGAGTGTTGTTATGGAATATGCGCTTGTTGCGTTGCTAGAGGGGAGTTGGGAAAAGTGCGAAGAGAGAGAATGCATCTGATGAAGAAGAATTTATATGCCGCGCATTTCAATCGGTTACGGGCGGTGAATTCCCGCTGGATTGATCCAATATGCAGGTCCCCGTCAAGAGCAACATCACCAGTCGGAGAGATGTGGTGACTTTACACGACCTCAAAGAAATACAGCAATTCAACCCCATTCAATTTCACGCTCTCAAAGCAAGAACGCCGACGAGGTGACAAGCTGCATCATGATAAAACCGTGGGAATTAAGATTCTCAGACACTACTGAAAAGAGAAACGATTGTCATTTCCCTCAATTAACTTATCAGATGTCATTCACGTTGCGGCTGATCTGTAGTATCCTGGTCAAGCCGCCATCAGAACAAAGAGCATTCAAAACAACCAGGCTGCTGGGTGAGTCACCAGGCTTCAACCACTTAAATATAGCTTTCTGCATCTTCATCGTATCGCCTACCTTTTTTCTTCCATCACTCACCAGAGCTCCCATCTGTATTGGCGTTTTACTACAGAGTTGGTATTTCACCATTCCCTTAGCTTATCTCTTATAATGAACAACTTTCTACATCTTCATCGCGTCACGCACCATCCCCTTCTCACTTATCAAAATTCCCACTCATTATTGACATCCTACCACGAAGTTTGCACTTAATCAACTCATCCATCAATTGAACACGTCGATTCTCCATCATATTCATTCATCATGACCAACAGAACCGAACGAGCTAAGCGAATGGAGAAGCTGCATCGGCGGGGCCGTGAGCTCCGACGATTATTTGTCGTACACGTCCGCTACGGCGGATCAAACCCTTCGAGCTATAACACGGGGGACCTGTATTACGTGATCAAATTCTGCCCGTTATCAGAAGCCCGGCTGCATGAGCATCACAGAGATCCAATTTGGATCAGCGACTACCAAGGCATGCTTAATATTCGGGAGAAATGGCGCGTCTCTATGAAGAAGTATCATGGTGATTTGCCTAAAAATTACGAAGGGCAAATCTTTCGTGTTGATTCGAAACGGGAACCCTCGATTGAAGAAGGGATGGCTGGTTACTTCCAGCCTGAGAGACGCCTGTAGCAGAAGTCACTGTATCTACCGCCTCCACACCACCAGCCTGCGGCCTTGTTTCTGCCAGAAGCTCAGGAGGAACAAAGAGGCAAGGACCATATTATGCCGCCGCCTCCGCAACCCGCCCGCCTCCCATCCCTACAACATCAACCTGCCCCCCCACAGGTTCAAGATCACCACGGAGACTACCATCCTATGCCGTCACCTTCACAGGCGGCCCATATCCCGCTGCTACTTCCCGAAACACAACAAGGCGGCGAGCTTGGTCGCCCAAAGTCTCACATTCATCCCCAGAACCCAGTCCTAAGGCAAAAATGGCAGTTAAGCTGCGGTTGGTCGGCAGCAGTCACCATAATACATTTGTTTTGAGTGTCACCAGAAACGATATTCAATTCACGATGAATTGGTGGAATAAAGATGGGATCAGGAAGTGGAGAGGGTCGGAATATCTGTCTCGGGACAATTCTTGGTTCTTCCGCCTTGAGCGGAATAAATCCAGCTAACCCAAATCATGCAAGGTGCGAATAACCAGAGTTTACTAATACGAGCACCAAAAACATCTAGTGCTCCGATGGGAATTTTCCACCGAGCAGGCGCCCTGGCTCAGTGAACAAACCTTTCCGTACAAAAAACAACAATGGTAGTGCTCGGGTACGACTAACCTTCTCGTAAGGACAATGCCCAATTGGAGTCCAAGAAAACAGAGCAGACTCAGGCTTCAACGAGGTAAGCCAAGTTTGTCTTCAAGTTTAGGCTATCGATATTAGTATTGCGTCTAGTCACGTTTGTTTCCATGCCAATCTACCATCGTATATGTCGTGCTAACTGTGCAAACAAGAGACGACTCCATGTTCTCCTCAGTCGAGGTGTCAGCCGACAGCGGCTCGGGGGTCACTTGTCTCCCCACCGGGGAAATATCAGCTAACAGCCCGGGGGTCACCCCGCCGGGGGAACATCAACTGACAGCCCCTCCGGTGGGGTTATCCTCAGCAAGCCTCGTCAATGGTGGGCTAGCCAAGCCGGCTAAACCGGTATACCCCACCCTCCGAACGGTTCGATTCACGGAATAGAGTTGCAGGTAGCGCGCGAACATTCGATTCAGCGATTCAGGAATCTGGGGTTCTAAGTCCGGGGTAAAACTTCCCTCGTGTGGGGAAGCAATAGGGGCTCATTGACACGTCGAGTAGCATATAAGTCGTGGGGATGAGCCGCCAACAACAAATAACAACTCATCTTTCCAACTCACCCGCAGTACTTCAGCCCAGAGCTACCCGATATGAAGTTTGTTCAATACATAAACCTGGGATTTGTCCTAGGTGCTTTGGTGCCTCCTACCAGAGCCATCGCTGTAGATCTCGATAAGCGGGATGCTGCTGGTACTGCCACTGTCAGCCTGAGCGAGCCCTCTGGAAAGCCTCAAAATTTGGCCTCGGGCTTCATCTACGGTTTCCCATCCAACCCAGATGGATCTGCCAACTCGGACATTCCACAAAGATTTATAAAAGACATTGGATTTAACTATTGCCGTGCTGGCGGCGCTCAAATGAGTAATTCTCTTGGCTGGGTTGCCAACCAGTACGAGGTTTGTTTCACTGATTGGTTGAATCACTACAACGCAAGCTGATGAACAATCTAAAAAGGGTCGTTGGAAATCCACTTTATCCAACTATCGAACCACCCGACGTTACAAGGCCAGATTCACGCTCTTGGTCCACGATCTTTGGGGCGCAGATAGCCTGCAATCAAATGGATTTAGGTATCCCGGAGATGATGGGAAATGGAAGGACTTCGACAAGTTCCTCGGCCAGGTTATTGCCGATATCAAGCTCAATGGTATGACACCGGGACTAGATATTGACATATGGAACGAGCCGGATCTAGACCTCTTCTGGAAAGCCCCACAGCCGCAGTATCTAGCCATGTGGAAGCGCGCATACGAAACGATTAGGTGAGATACTTTCAATCATGACGCAAGTCTCGAGGCTGTTGCTAAGCGCATGTGACATAAAGAAAGGAATTGCCCGACGTTCCAATTACCGGACCATCCACGACGACTCCTCCTTCTCTCGACAACACCTGGTGGAACAATTATCTCAAGTACATTGCACGAACCAAGACAGTTCCTGATGTCTACTCGTGGCACCTTCTCAACCCTGAGCGTAATCTCCGTGAGTCGAAGGAGCAGTTTGAGGTTCTCCGCAAGAGATATGGACTTCCCGAGAAGCCTCTGAATATCAACGAGTACGCCTGGGTAGGCAACGATGAGCAGAGCCCAGCGGGCGCTGTCTTTTACATCTCTCAGCTTGAGCGTCATAACGCCCAGGGACTACGTGCCAACTGGGGCTCCGGTCCTAAGCTTCAGGACCTCATGGCCAACCTTCTCATCAAGAACGATGACGATTACTCGCCGACAGGCGAATGGCATGTTTATTCTTACTATTACAAAGAGATGAGAGGACAACGCGTTGCGACGTCCCCATCAGATGACGAGTTCTTCGAGGTCTACGCCACCAGGGGCGGTACCGCTGGAACAGTCAGAGTCCTCGCTTCTGTTCGACCTGTCGCCGGCAAAAAGACGTACAATCTAGTCATTAAGGGTCTTCATAGCGTCAAGATTACAGGCAAGACAGTGAGGGTCAGGACCAAGCGATTTGATGGTCCTAACAGAGAGACCAGCATCCAGGGCCCGGTTGACTTGGGTACATTTAAGCATACTATCAGAAATGATCAGGTCAGTACCGAAACAAAACATGCCCTAACCATTAGAGATTCGAATCTTGCGACTTTGCTCTTTCTAGTTATCATTCCCTTCCTTCTCAATAATTCACTAACGTCTTTCATCAAGATTAACTTTTGGATCACTCCCGATGAGGTCACTCAGGCATACGCTTTCGAGTTCGAGCTGTAATGCTCTGTGTCGTAGGTTGTTGGTCTACAATGAATCATTTGGCAGTTCGAATATTTCGACTTCCAATCCATGTTTCATTGTTCTTTTCCGTTCTTGTGAGAAACATTTTTATTCTGGAGTTGATGGCAAGCAAGATGTGGGCATCATTGTGAAATATGAAAATAAGACTGCATTGATAGTGGAAAGAAGAATATGAACGATATCATCTTGCTGTCCATAAAACGTCACATAGTCCATATAAGCAAGCTTAACACTATGTTGACGTGCATGATGAGCGAGCCGCTCAGACACGTTGCAATAATAAGACGTCTAATCTATCTTGGAATTGATACAGCACCAGAAGACAGTGGACCCAGTAAGAAGACAACAATGTGAGCGATTTCCACTCTTATTCTGACGCCTTTCTAGGACCAGACCTTATGGAGGCTGTCGCCAAAGTCGGCATCGATGAAGGGAAGGTTAGCACTGCCCTAAGACTCCTTAGCGGGATTTCTATTAAGGCCATTAGTTAGACCAGTGCAGGCAGCAAGAGCTATAGCAGCCTAGTCGTAGATCTAGTAAATACAGCTAGGCCTAGTTTAAAACTGCAGCTTATAGTTCTTACTAAAGCTAGTAAAGTATTTATTTATAATATTATTACTATCTTATTAGAAGCTTTTTATCTTCTTATAGTTACTATAACTTAAGGCAGTAATAATATAGAGGCTAATCTTAATAGATTAGTAAACGTTAATAAAGATAATAATATTCTTTTAATTGTAGTAATAATTACTAATAAGATTACTATTAGCAGGCTAGTCCTTAGGCTAATATTAAATATATATAATAGTCAAGTTACTATTATATATAGCAATATAAGTATATATCTAGCCCTTTTTGATATCTTTATAATTACCAGTCTTATTATTACTATCTTAAAGTTTACTAACCGTTTGCGACTTTTACATTTGAGTAGGGATAATTCCATATAAAACAGAACATGGACTACCCAATGTGGGCCCACCACCTTACCGTTCTAAGCTTAATTTTGCGATAGTGCCATCGTTTTCCGAGAGCACGACAATATTGACGGTAATGGTGAAAGACCTTGAGGCCTGATGGGCGTGATTGGCGTGAGTTGAAAAATGTCGCAAAAGCCAGGTGTATAAGCACAATATGCCGATTTGTCATCTCGAAGTCCAAAATCTTCTATAAATACGACTTGTACGCGATTGTTGTTCCATCCCTAAGACTGACCACAACGATGCTAGCAGAGGCTCATCCTTGATTTGCTCCAATCGAACGCACAAATCATGCCCTCCATAAATGAGGACCTCATTTTGGTGTTTGCTGCCGGCGGCAAGCAGACTCGTCCGCTCCTACCTCTGTTGGCGAAACACTACAAGAATCTGCGCCTCATCGTCCGTAGCGAAGCTTCCCAGCAGACACTACGCTCGCTACTCCCAGAAACGGATGTCATTCGCGCAGATCAGAATGATCCTAAAGCCGTGCGCGAGGCTTTTCGGGGTGTTACTGCCGTCTACTACGTAGGTCCTAGCCTGCATAACCAAGAAATCCAAAATGGATATATTGCTATCGATGCCGCTATCGCCGAACAAGAAGAAGGTAATTTCAAACACTTTATGTAAGTCTTCATTGATCCAGATTCATCTGTATAAAATCGCTGAGAAATTGTAGATTATCGTCAGTTCTGAAGCCAGGGCTGCGCAAAGCTATAAATCATGATAATAAGCGATACATCGAGGAGTATTTATTTGAGAGTCCGCTGAACTATACGGTCTTACAACCTTGCAATTTTCTGGCGGAGAACTTATTCCCTATCAGCAAGTGGATAGATGAGGACGAGCCTGTTCTCAGTCTTCCATACAATATTAATATTCCCAACTCGAATATCTTCCTCGAGGATCTGGCAGAAGCCACACTCAAGGTTTTCCAGGAACGCGAGAAACACTATCACTCCGAGTATCCTCTCAGCTCAACATACCCAATCCCCTATAAAGACCTCATACCACCGACCGAAATGGCCCTTGGGAAACGCATCAATATCATAAAGTTGTCCCACGCGGAGGCTACCAAGAACTTCATCACAGCCGCGCTTGGTAAGAACTATAACGGGAAGAACCTGGACGTTGCCGAGAGACTCGTTCTATGGTACGATAGATACGGTTTAAACTCGTCGCCTAACGTTTTGGAGTGGTTGTTGGGAAGAAAGGCCACCACATATGAAGAGTGGCTTGGGCGACGTTTGACAGCTATCAAATCTAGTCGTTCTGATGCCTAGAGTGAAGGCCCAATCATTCTTTACAGTCCAAGGAGTGCTTGTTCCTCCAGGAAGGGCAATGGTATCTTAGGTTTTAGCCACCAGCTGCCAAACAGAATTGACTACTGCGTTTGTTAAGAGCTTTTACGAGAATCGGAGAATCTTGTTTCTCCTGTTACTTAACCTCACAAAAGAGATACAGAATCTCCTTAATTAATGAGTTTTAAGCTGTCGCTAAGGTCGCCAGTACAGCTGCCTATAACTAGAGGAAATTCCCTTTTAGTACTTTCTACTGGAACCTTACTGTTGATAGTAAGATCATCTGTAATCATCTCACCTGCAACTCTAGAATGACCACTTCTTTAAGGTTCCTGTCTTGGATGATTGTAAAGGTTATAAGGGTTACTTCTTTAATAACCCTTATATATAGAATAAAACTAATAAGGCTAAATATCTCCAGGACCTTTTATTAAAAGAATTAAGGATTCTCCTTTAATTTTAAGATTAAAGTTAAGGATTAAAGTCCTAAACTTAAATTTTAAAATACTTATTTAAAACTCTTATTGTTAAATATTATAAGTATAAGGCAGTTAAAGTAAGAATAAAGGATAAAAGGAGAAATATTCTATAAGAGATTATATTTATATATAAATAATTATTATATTTAAAATTATTATATATTAATTTTATAAACTTAATTAGCTTATATTCTCTTAGCTATTAAAGCTTTTAGTTACTTAAATATAACTTAATATAGTTAATAAGCAAGTGGGTTATTTAAGTAAGTAGGTTAGCGCACGGTATACCTAAAAATAGCCTACCCTATAAGACCTAACTACCTAAAATAAAATAGCTAAATATTTAATAATATTTTTCTTAAAAATAGTATAAAATAAACTATATAATATAATTCTTTTAGATTTTCAAAAAACCTTCTTTAAATAGTAAAGCTTAATTATATAGTATAAAATACAGTATAAATAGGTTTTAAAGCTTATAGCTATATACATTTCTTTAAAAAATCTAAAAAAATTAATATAGCCTATTTTTAAACTTATATATAAGCTATTAAGATTATAGCTATTTTAAGCTTAAGTATAGCTTTTTATAAGCTTTTAAAAACTAGATTCTAAGGTATAGGTTAAACTGAACCGCTTACTTAAATAACCCACTCACTTATTAACTACATTACCTTAATAAGAGTATTTTTGATTTTAATTTCTTAGCTAGCCTAAATAACTTAATTAATAGAAAAGAGGAAAGAATAAGATGCAGTTTATAGTATATAAGGCTAATAGGTAATTAGCACAGATGACTTAGCGTTCATAATAAGGGTTAGACGGCATAACGATACGTACTTCCTGTCTAGGCAACTTCTTGGCCTATACAAGAAAGGCTAAAGAACCTCTCTCTTATTTAAGGCATACCGCTCCCGAAGACGCATTTGCATGTGATGGACACTTCCTGTATTAGCATGGAATAAGTGCGAAAGTCTAGAGGTTGCATAAATCCATGGGCCGGGATACTGGCGAAGGGGGTGAAAGAGGATTCGGTAGACAAGGATCCATGTTCTGTAAAGAATCAACTGACCCATTGGTTAGTTTTCCGACCTGGCTAGAGCGACATTTGGAACTAGCGGCTTTCCCTCTGTGGAAACTGAGCTGAACTTACGAGAAATGCAATTGTGGCGGGAATACGTGAGGCTTTTGAGTCCAGGAAATCGGTAATTAGAGACATGACAGCCATTGTGGTGGTTTTCTTTGCTAATGATGTGTTGAATAGTCTTTCGATGGGGTCCACAGAGGCGGTCCAAAACTTCCATATATCGTAACCTGCCGCAATCATTACGTGGCAGGGAATGCTGAATGCGACGGAATTCCCTTAACGTGTGAAGAACGATTCCCAACTGATGAGAAGGTTGATCTGCCACGTCATGTCCCGCATACCTGCCACGTTGTGAAACATGATCGGCGAGTCTTGATTCAGATGACGAAGCAATTGGGACGTTAATTGCACAGCAATCGAAGCCAGCGATAAAAGCTCCCGGCAGTCCGTTGCCATTAGTAATGTGCTGAGGAAGCATGTTCACTACCCAGTACACACAGAAACTCGATGATGTTTAGTCCCTCGCCGGAAAGCTAGGTGTCTCAATCCGCTAAGCATAGCCACAACCGGTTCTCGGTATACGAAGCCGAAATACGAAACCGAAGTTTGGTTAGTTGGTCTTCCGCCCAACAATCGACGCAATGAAACGATGGCTCAGTATTGCTGTGCAAAGGGCACTAATGAAGGTCATGTCGGGATTTTAGCCCTCCGACGACACGCATTTTGTTGGTAACTGATAGTCAGTTGAAATGACGATGGCTCGTTGACTCCGTTGTAGCCAGCCCTTGTCTCAATATAAATTATGTAAAAAGTATTTATACTTTGCCAACTCTAGAACTAAAAGCCTTCATGACCTGTGATATAAATGCTCTTAACTCTGTACCGGTGATACTACCACACATGCCTTACCCTGCATCGGGCCCCCTCATGCAAGATCCAGGGCAGAAGCCTTGGCGAGGCTGTTGGATATCCACCATGCAGCTGGTTCATTGGAACTTAGCCGTGATACCGCGTGGTCTTGCAATACCCGTGTATGGTTAATTCGGCCTCGGATTCTCCAGGGAGCCCGAACATGATACAGAAGCACTGGAGCCGGCCTGAAGGTGGCCGCTTCTCGCCAAGATCTCATCATATATAAGACTATCAATGTTGGAATATTGGAGACTCAAATCACCACAGCCCGCACCGACTCACTACAACTTGATCGTCTCATCAAAGTTTGCACCAATTCAAATTTCCAAAATGCCTATTCTTTCCACCATCCGGCCTGAGATTCCCGCCAACCGCAAGGACCACTTCCTTGCTGCTTGGCCTACGCTTCTCGGGGAACTCCAAGCCCAGTCCGGTCTTCTTCATGCCACCGCTGGTCAGGTTGTCGCCGAGGATGGCCAAAGAGTCGACGAATTCAAAATCATCCAGTTTCTCGGTACTTTCTGCTTTTCTCAAGGAGTGTCCTGGATATGTTTGAGTACTAACGCAAACGCATTAGCTTTTGCCAACGTCGAGGACGAAGAGACGTTCACCAAGTCCCCCTGGGCACAGGCGCACAAAGCTCGCCTTGAGAGCTCAGGCGCCCCCGAACCAACATTTGGGAGATTTAAGTTCTCCGAATTCTCTGCCGATCCGTCCCCTAAGCCTTTCCTGCAGCTGACCAGCATCACGCTGCCCAGCGAGAGCCAGAGGGAGGAGGCCCGCAAAGCATGGGCCGAGCTGGTTACTATCCTCGGCAAGGAAACTCGCGGTGGCGTGCTTCTACGGGATGATGTATTCAATGGACTCGCTCTTATAGGTTGGGATAGCCTTGAGGTATTTATGACAGATGTGAGTCATTTCAAAAAGGAGTATGCTAACCAGCGGTTTTGTAAAGGAGGTTGAGAATGCTTATAAGGAACCCAAGGCTGCTGAGGCGCTGGCGGCCTATAAGAGACTTGGGCAGGTCAGAAGCACCCTTGTGAAGTTGCTATGAGCTCGCGTGGGAGGCCCTCAATTCGTCGGTTCACGAGAATGCTATTGACCGGAGGAGCTTCATACTGATGCTTGATAGGCAATCCCGGAGATCAGTGCAGCACGGTATAAGGGATCATCTAGGCGGCGACGTTGCCATAGGTTCTAGACCATTAGACAAATACAGAAAATTCATTCGGGCGAACACTCTAACATCTCATAGCATGATAAACGAGACTATTGCCTTCGAGCCGGCCGTGTACCCAGGGTCCGACGGTTAGCTTGCCTTGCAAAGCTTTCTAGACTCAATCCGAGTAGAGCTATTTCCGGTAGCCAGTCCGGCTAAAGCGGCTGCGCTGGAATTGTAAATCATGAATACTCACTCGGCTTTCGCTACTTCAAGGGAAATCGTCTTCTAGATGGGTGGAGAAGCCGAAGGGTGAACAACAAATGACTTGATTTATACTCTTTACTAAGTAAAAGAACCTCTCCTTCTAAGGGTCCAAGTCATCCACATTCTTTCCACCAGCCACACATTGTCGTGCCCACTGAATCCATTCTATCCAAGGATCGACAAGTAAACGGTCAACTAATGCAAGAACACTCAAACTCCAACCCCGGGTTATCCAGTCCTGATGCTCAAACGGCTTAGCCAGCGCAGCAAAATGCGCCAGAATAATCAAAGCAATGGGATGATCGTTGCAAATCATCTCGAGAAATAGAGGCGGCAAAGAAAACGCCCACAGCCATACTCGACGCGCACTCGACGGCGAGCACTCATCTGCAGTTTCCAAGTAAGCGCTTCGAAGAGCCTCTATGGCGAGAAGGCTTGCTGAGCGTTCGTTGATGACCGCCATCCCGAGAGGCAGGGTCCGTGCGAGCTCTGCGATCTTCTCCATCCGCCGTTGGAAGTTGAGAGACTTTCGTGGTGCAGAGGATTCCAGTGGTACTAATAAAGGCGCCAGAGGACCATCCTTCCTCCACTTCTCAATCGGCTTGAAAGCTAGGATATTTCTGACACCCTGCGACAGGTAAAAGGCCTGAGCCACGTCGCGTGAGGTGACATTTATCTCGGGATCGTACGGGTTCGCAACGGAGCAGATGGACACGATCACGATGAAGGAGGCCAGAAGGAAGAAAGCCTCGCAGTTTTCTTCGTTGATATCTCCCAGGTTAGATGAGAAATGCTGTAGGGCAAGGTTCTGGTAGGCTGAAGATATAATGGCGAATTCTCGATGATGTTCAGGGTGAGTATGAGCGTAGTGTAATGCCGAAACAGCAAGCAATCCATGCATGAAGAACTCCTGCCATCATGTCAGGGGCAACCACGGCACTCTAATCTGGTGGCTTACATGGGTACAAGCAATTTGTGGCACCGTCAACTTCCATAGCTCGGTAGTGGATGGGTCGCGGACGAGTGTTGCATACACGGTTGTAGAATAGTGGTGAAGAAGCTTCAAGCTCTGCATCCACTCTGGGGAGTAGTAGCTCCCCTTTACGAGAGCTGAATTCTTGGGGATAGCGAGATGAATTCCGGAATGCGTTGCTGGTGAGTCGGACCTGACGCTCCTCCTGGGGGGAACAGCTTCAATCTTGCTTGGGCCTGTCGCCGTATCGGCCTCGAGCTTGCCTTGCGTCAGGCTGCAGGGAACCTTGTGACGAACGCATGCACTGCATGGGCTAAGCTCGTCGCACTATTTCACGATATCAGCACAATCTGACCAGTTGCTGTCTGCTTGGGATCAGCTACCTTGACGCGTCGGGCCTTGCAGTGGAGACATCCCTTTCGAGACTTCCGATGGCCGACTCGCTTGGCAACCATTGTTTTCTTGGTGGGAGGAGGGGATGAGACTGACTGACGCCTGAGTAGAATGCGACTTCGGGTTCGTATGAGAATACGGGTGGGGATGGGCGCAGACCAAGTTAAATACAAGCCTCCCACGTCGAAAACGGGCCTTTATTAGTGGCCGATGCCTGACTCGAGTTCGTTTGCTAAGGATTCGATGTACGGCGATTACGTATGTGTTAAGCTTAAACTTTGGCTTGAGTCTAAAAATCACAATCCACTAGTTCTAGAAGCTGGTTATGGCTGAGACTGGAGTGAGAAGAGAACCCTAAGCAGCAGGCAAAAACTAAGCAAAGCAGGAGGGGGGTCTGTGTCAATGATATCTGGATTCATTTCTCAATGTACAGAGTAGGTATCGTATGCTTCTGAAAATAGTCCCAAGTGCAGCAGCTCTAGAGCAATGCCCTCAAAAAAACACCAACTCCTTTGGGCAATGATGCGAGGTGCAAATACGAAACCGAAAACGTGGCTTGTGCTGATCGAGGTGTCTCTCCGCTAGATAAAATGATTGGCTCGCCGTTTCCGGAGTTAGGAGTCGGGCTTAAGAAAGAGCCCGCTGGGCATCCATTATGATCTACGCCGCATCACGGACCAGGGTTCTTGTAATGACAACTTGACCTATTCAGTGGTATGGCGGGCAGGATATTAGCCGTCAACCCGACCACGAAGGTCACGATGAAAGGAATGGGAGGACTAGATAATCGGTGCGACTCCTGGTGTATTCTTGGGATCAGTTCGCATTGAGAACAAAAACTCACCCTCAGGAAGCCGGTTTCAACTTCCCCAGTCTTTGTTCTAACGGCCGAACCATCCCCGGATCTCAACAATGGAGAGGGCTTCATCGCAAAGTCCGTCACAAAATACACTGCTACGAGGTATGGATTTGGAAAACGGTACTGTAGCGTCAATGCCTCAAGCGACGACGCCACCAGCGACTGAAGACATCGAATTATCCCGGAAGGATAACAGCAACGTTGCCCAAGATGGCGATATTGTCGATTGGGACGGCCCGGATGATCCAGAGAACCCCATGGGCTGGCCGGACAGCAAGAAGTGGCTCAATATCATCCTGATCTCAATATTAACACTCGTAACGTAAGTCCACGCCTGTGATGTTTCTGACAAAGTACTGAACAAGGCACAGACCTCTTGTAAGCGTGGCAGTACCGGGTACTCCCAGGCGCAATACTGACGTTCTAGGGCTCATCAATGTTTGCACCCGGAATTCCTAGAATCATGGTCGAGTTCAACGAAACATCCCCTCTTGTTGCAACATTTGTCGTGTCTGTCTACGTTCTCGGTTTCGCCTTTGGGCCACTTATTGTTGCACCTCTTAGCGAGGTCTACGGTCGCGCACCACTCTATAACTGGGGTAATGTGTTATTCGTCCTCTTCACTGTTGGGACAGCTCTGTCCCAGAACATGCCGATGATGATGGCGTTTCGGTTCCTGATGGGGTTTGCTGGCTCAGTTCCCATCACAATTGGCAGTGGTAGCATCGCCGACATTATGCCGATTGAGAGCCGAGGTAAGGCTATGTCAGTGTGGGCTCTAGGACCTCTACTTGGACCCTGCATTGGCCCTTTGGCAGGAGGATACCTTATCCAGGCCGCTGGGTGGAGATGGGTCTACTGGTTGGTCACCATCATGGTGAGTACATACTCAGCGTTCTTCGTACCCTACCAGTACTGAGCGAATCAGGGCGGCATCTTCATACCTAGCTCGTTCCTCTTCATCAAAGAGACCTACGTCCCCGTACTCCTCGAACGAAAAGCCGACCGACTTCGAAAAGAGACCGGAAACACGAAGCTGCGAACCAAAGAAGATAAAGGAGAGCGGCTTGGTGTCAAGTTTAAGCTGGCCATTGTGCGCCCCCTGAAGCTGCTATTTGTTACTCCCATTGTCGGGCTCATGGCTCTGTACATGGCCGTCGCCTACGGCATTCTGTATCTCCTGATCGCGACATTCTCGTTTGTCTACAAAGATAACTATGGCTTCGATGAAGGCGAGTCAGGTCTCACCTTTCTCCCGGCCGGTATCGGCATGATGATTGGCGTCGTCGTCTTCGGTGCCCTGTCGGATGTGCTTGTCACGAACCGCACAAAACAGGGGCTGGAGCATAAACCCGAGGTCAGACTGAGCCCAAAGCTGGCTTTGCCCTGCGGTGTCGTTTTACCTATTGGCCTGTTTCTCTACGGGTGGACCACGCAGTATGCCATTCACTTCATCGTTCCTATGCTAGGCGTCGCAATCTTCAGCTGCGGACTGATGGGAGTGATGGTAAGGAAACTGTTCCCCTCTTTAGGCAATTCTTGGCAGTGTGCTAACGATGAATCCAGATGTGCGTCCAAAACTACCTTCTAGACACGTACCCTCGCTATGCGGCATCTGTCACTGCGGCCCTCGCAGTCCTTCGATCTCTTGCTGCGGCCCTCCTCCCCTTGGGTGGATTGGACATGTACAACGCGCTGGGGCTGGGTTGGGGAAACAGCCTACTGGGATTCCTCTGCGTGGCTATGATTCCTATTCCCGTCGTCTTTTACGTCTTTGGCGAGCGGCTCCGCAAACGATTTAATCCGTCGCTCTAGGCTGCTTAATCGACGTCGTGGGAGTTCCAGATGATACGGAGCAGAGGCTCGCCTTCCTCGGTCCTGCTTTCGGATATTGGAGGACTTGGGAAGTTAATCTAGATAGAGTGGTGGCAACGACGGTGTGTTCCCTGAGGGCGAAGGAAGTTTGTAGTGCGGTTCTGTCGCATACGAGATGCTCGGGGCGTACTGCGAGATTGGGTCAAGAATTAATTATAGATCTTAATCGTTTTAAAGTTTGTATATCCTATGGCGTCGGCCCTAGGAACTTTCCATTGAACCTAGATGTAAATCAGCTACTTTTTAGTGTTAGTAAAATAGTACTTATGCTTCCTACAATATAAGATTATAGTTATATCTCTTCTTGGTTCATTCCAACAAGTTCCCTCTTGTTAGATACAGGTTACGTTAATAGCAGTTATACGAAACGTTATTTATTATTACCTGCTTAACTAATATACTTAATAAGTAAGTAGATTAAACTATAATAATAAAGGTTCTTAATATAATAATATACACAATAAGCAAGCAAGACAGATAAGTAAGTAGGATAAAAATCCCTTACCTTATATTAATACTATTTAACTAATTAATACTTAGTTAAATAATATATTAGAATCTACTAATAAGGTATATATTATTTTTATACTTTAGGCCTATTAGGTAGATTTAAAATTAGATATATAATAAGCTATATTTCTTAATAATATCTCCTTTTAGACCCTTTACCATTAATCTTAAGGTTATTAGGCTTATATTAATTATATTTTTAATAGTTAGAAATTATATAATTAAAAGAAATAGCTTATAAATAAATATACTTTAAATTTAAATTTATAAGAATTTCCCTTTTAGTATTATAATATTAAAGAGATAGTAAATTAATTACTTATTAATTATAATATATTACTAATTAATAAGTACTAAATTATTAATTTTATTAAATAATAATTATAGCTTAAAATATATTCTTTTTATAAATATAACTATTATAAATATAACTATTAAAAAGATTACTATAAAAATTTAAATATTATTTAATTAAATATTATACTTTATAATTATATTTTATATAAATTAAAATTAACTATAAATAATATTTAAATCTTTATATTTAGCTTTTTAATAGTTATATCTTTAAAATAAGTATATTATTAACTTGAGTTATTACTTTATAAATTTATAAGCCTAGTATTTATTAATAGGTAATATATTATAGTTAGTAAGTAAAGAATTAACTATTTTTTTTATAAAATATAATTATAAAGAAAATCTTTATAAATTTAAATTAAGAATAAATTAAACTATTATTTATTTCTTTAAATTAAATAGTCTTTATAATTTTAGAATAGAATTATATTATAACTAAATGCTATAATAGCAGTAATATAAAGTCCTAAAGGGCACCTTAAAGTTAGTTATAGCCTATTATAAACTTAATTTTAGGTTATTTTAAAGGGCCTAAAGGCCAAGAAGTATTTTAGCTTTATTTAAAGGCTGTAATATATTAAGTTATTAATAATTATTTAATTAAATAGAAATATTATAAGGTAAGGAATTTTTAACTTACTTACTTAAATAACCTACTTACTTATTAACTATATTAATTAATAATATAAAATAAAAAGGATATACTTATAGAATACAAAGAGCTTAACTATATAAAAAGGTTAAAATTTAATTAATTAAATAGATATAAGTATATAGATATTAGCTTAATTATTAAGAAGTAATAATTAAAAAAGGTTAGTAAGGCTAAATATTTAATAATATAATATATATAATAAAACTAAATATAATATAAAAACTTATTAAAAGGGAATTAAGGCTTTTAGTAATAAATATAATTATTAATTCTAATTAATTAAATAGTCTATTATATTTTTATTATAGTTTATTTTAAAAAAGTTAAGATTTTTATTTTACTTATTTATTTATCTTACTTACTTATTATATATATTATAGATAAAACTTATTAAATTATATACTTTAGTAATATATTAAGTATTTAATTTTAAGTTATTTTAAAGAGTTTAAAAGATAAAAATAGTTTTAACCTTATTTAAATATTATAATATTTTTAATAGTTAAGAGTTAATTAATTAAATAAAAAGTTATATAGAAATAAAAAAAGTATAGTACTTATTAATTTACAGTACTTATCTATTATATATATTATTTTATATTAATAATAAATATATAAAGGCTATTATTAATATTAATCCTTTTAGTAAAGTGAGGCTATTAAGAATAAATAAGTCAGTTTATAAGTTATCTTTCTATATGCAATTCTTACTAATACATATCCTAGCAAATCAAACTCTATTAATGTTCTCTTTCATTTCTCCAGCATTCGGTTTGTCAAGGACTCATTCAAGACGTGGAGCAGCTCGCTGAGTGCTTGCCATATTGCAGAGTAAATACAGATATAGAATGTCACACAATGACAGGATAGTATTTTGTTCAACAGAGCAGCAGTACTATAACACAATTCGAGCCAAGGGCGGATGGCAATAGAACGAAAAATATAAATGTATAGAGTTTGCATACTTCCTTCCTTTCCGATAAGCCAATTTATTGACGATAATCCCACTAGAATGCACTAAGAAGAGAAATGAATTCTCTGCCACTCCGGACGAGCTTAGCCGAGGTATATAAATGGCGTTAAACTGCTTAATGGGGTTATACATCATGCTTAGAGTCTTCCCTAGTGGAGGCCTGATATTGGGCATAGTACGTGTGCTGAAATGAGGGAAACCACTGTGTCATTCCAATGGAGCACAATTCTTACAGGACAAACCTGCTAGTTGTGAAATACCCTATGAGCCAAGACCAACGAAGCAGGGTGAGGATAACACAGTATTTCTCACTTTCTCTTTTTTCTTTCCCGAACAAAAAGAGGCGTCAACCATGACGCCAGATATCACGATAACCTTCTCATCGAATTTTAAAGCAATATCACACATACAGGTTACTTTGGCAGCCGAGGTTACGCAAAAGTCGTGTTGAAATCAAAGGAGAAATCAGATATAAGAACTGTGTCATGCCCGCTAGGCCGTTTCTGCCGCAGCTTGAGAACATAGTCTTGAGGTAAGAGATGCTCTCTGATCGAGAGGTGTTGGACACTTCGTCGGAGCCAAATGGTCCTGAAACTTCTGAAGAGTTGAAATGCCTGGGAATATGCCAACACCTCAGGATGTGGGGATCGTCTAAGATCATTGTGTTGACGGCCTTAATTGCCGAAAAGTGGAAATCAGCGGAATCTACATACATTCGCCTCCTGCAATAGACACTTGCCTCGTAACAAGGAGATTCATTTGCAGCTTCATTGCTGGCTATATCTCAGCTAGATCAACACTGAAATCTCATCACTCACTCTCTACATTTTCATTCGTAAGCTCTATCACACTATTATACATCTTGTATTTCTGGGATGTGGTGTGTTTCGTTCCTCTTGAGTTCAACGAATCAAGCAGTTAAATAGCTATTAGCTAGCAGAAGAAGCTTATCTATTACTATTATTTACTCTTTTAGATACTCTTAAATATAGTAGAGTAAGTTTAAGTAGCTAAAGGTAAAGAGATTATTAGATTGAATTTTATATAAGTTAGGGGTTAATAAAGTTAGTAAATCTGTAAAGATCCTAGCTAGTTAAAAGGAGGAGAGAAGTGTAAGTTCGGCTTTATATGGAGATATACCAATTTTTGCTTTTTGGGCACTATATAGTGGCATTCTCTTTTAGAGATAGAGCAATTAGCGCATTCTGGTCATTAATATGTAAAAGTGTCAGAAATACAAAGATAGTTCATAATGAAGAGGATACTGACCTTTTTATCGCATTTGATGTGGCGCTTCTTATATGTTGTGCACCCATTACGGGACTTGCGATGGCCTTGCCTGGATTTTCTTATGCCTTTAACCTGCATTATTGTCTTAATAGAATGTTAATACGAGGAAGTAAGTTAACAGAAGAGAAAAAGGAAAGAAAGATTGCGAGTATAGAAAATCAAGAATACGGGGGATACGAAAGTATGGAGCATGGGGCAAAATCCACATTTGTAGCTCCTAATTGGGTGTATTTACGCGTAGTTCAGCACGAGTCAGACAATATGAGCACTAGAGCCTTTTTGAGAAACCTTACGAGTATTCACGCGCATTCGTCATATTCCCGTGGACGCTATTACAAGACGAATTAAATATTTCTCCACCTGAACTCTGAAAGATATGCATAGACCAGATGGTCGAAACCACGGGGTACGTTATTTCCTTTTACCATTCCTTTCCTTCCACATTAATCTGGTTTTGCTTATTGGACGTCAAAGCATACGCTAATGATGAAAACCTTTTCAGCAATCATCTAAATGGGACACATTTTCGTGTCTAGCATATCCCCTAGGTTCAGCTAGATTGAATGCAGCACTTGGTTTTGACCTCGCTAGCAAGTCAAGTTGACCGCTGCATCTAATCTTAAAGTCATCAAAATTGGGTCTTTGTCTTCACGACAGTGGCAATTAATTTCCTCGCCTTAAAGAAGTCGACGGGTTAATAATTGGAACTGAAGCTTGCGACCGGTCTAAACTGGATACCCGCTCGTCTTGACCTAGAAATCACCCTGTGGGGATTTTCTCGGCCAGAATAATGCCAGCTATTCATTAAAATTTCATGCGGTTAATCTAGAAATATTCTGTGCTGATCGTCATGTTTCATTCCCGATAGTGAGATCCTTTACTAGCATCCCGTTGTGCAGGCAAATTCCATAAGTCGCCAGATATTTTCAACCAATCTTTGAGTGCTCCTATTCAATATTTTGCAAATAGACAGCTTTCACCCGTCATGATATTAGAGCAATTGTTTATAGAGAAGTTGTGACGCAAATTCTCGGTAAGAAAGTTCTGTCTGCTCAGATTCAAATCTCGAATATGCAAATCGCGGTTTCCGAACCGTGTTTCACTAACAATGCGCCATAAAATTGCGTCAATGATCAGAGCACGATTGGCTTCCATGGGTGGTCCTCTTCAAATACGAGTACACCCAAGAAAAAATTCAACAGGACGCGAGTTCTGATCTCAGGCTTCCTGTGTCCACTGTAAGAAACCGTGCACTGCGGGGCATTCGCCTTAAGATGATGACCTTGTTGTTGAGTTAGGGGTCCCGCGTAACGTTGACCAAAACGGTAAAAGTCTAGATTATCACCAATGCGGTGTAAATCACTTATCCCCCATAGAGATTTATAAATATTATCTCAATTCTGGTATTGTAGCTGCATCGACTTACTTCAACTCAATCAATCTATATCTTCTCGACATTCCCTTGTGTAACTACAACGTCAAATCAGCCACTCTTTAAGAAACAACCAATCCTTCTCCTTGTCTCGGCTCTTTAATTGAATCCACTCACTCGGCACGCTATCATCCACCATGAACGACAACCTCATCCTACGAAGAGAGCTTCTCCCTTACAAAGGCGACTTCTATCTTTGGAGCTATGTACCCTCGATACCGGCTGCCGTTATCTTCATCATCGTGTTCCTTGTACTCTCTATGGTCCATACCTGGAAGATGGTTCAGAACCGATTATGGTTCTGCATTCCCTTTGTGGTTGGGGGTTACCGTAAGTTCCTAGTACACACCGTTTTAAATCTGCAAATCCTAATAAACTCTACAATAGTCGAAGTTATTGGATTTATTGGTAGAGCCATGGCTAACAAGGCGACTGATCAACTCGGACCTTACATCATCCAGTCTGTCTTCCTACTTATCCCCCCCTCTCTTTTTGCCGCCTCGATTTATATGACGCTCGGACGAATTATGCGCGGTCTTGGTCCCAAGGCGGAAAGCTACTCTATCATCCGAGTTAAGTGGCTTACGACTCTATTTGTTATGGGAGATGTTTTCTCCTTCTTGGTTCAAAGTTCTGGAGCTGGAATGATGGCCGCTGGCGATGACCCCAAGATGGGAGAAAATATTGTTATCGGTGGTCTGGTCATTCAAATCCTCTTCTTTGGTCTCTTCGTTTTTGCAGCAGTCATTTTTCATCTCCGTTATCGAAGGAATGGCAAAGGTTGGAGGGCCGTTGTTACCTCAAACACTGAAAATGTCTTTGAATGGGAAAGGATGTTGATGATGTTGTATGCCACTTCAGCCCTCATCCTGATCCGATGCTTCTTCCGAATTATCGAGTACGTCTTGGGTTCCGACGCTTACCCATTAAAGAATGAGTGGACCTTGTATATCTTCGACTCTTTGCTCATGGCTATTACTATGGCCATCTTTTACGTCTGGTATCCCTCTAGGATTCAGGACTTCCAAGAGCTACGAAACAGGGAGAGTGCCGACCTCGCTTATGTCACAGCTGAAGCGCACCTTAACCGAGAAAGAGAGGGCTGATGTAGCGGCGATTTACTGGTGTCTTCTGGGAGAAGCAACGGTGCAACGGATATCTCTGTGGATTGCCGAGACTTCTAGTTTTGAGTGATTGTTATCTGCGGAGTTAGGAGAGTCGAGGATGGTATGTTGGGGTTGTCTTCTTTGTATGAACGTGTAGGCTGGGGTCCCTTTCCTTTGTTCCTTTTGCAAACCTGGATCTCATAGCGTATCGTGTTAATTATGCAATCAAGGATAATATTATTATCGTATAACCAGCTTCTTGCCATAATAATCGTGTCTAACATGACGACAGTTTATATAGCTTGTTTTGTCCCCCTCAAATAAATAACACGGGGATGTTGTAAAATGCTAGACCTCAAATGTTGGATTTAGAGCCCCCATGAGAGTACAGTAGTTGGTAAACTAGAAATTGCTTCATGCTATTGGCTGACTGTGTGCTCTGCCCTGGGCTTGATGAATTCATCCTCCACCAAACGTTCATCCGTTTAATCCCACAGAGAAATCTATGCAGGACGACTGCCAGTTGCCATTAGCGCTGCCACCAAAGGAAATCCATCAAGGATGAGCATACCATGCGATACCCCTCTGCTCACAAGATCCCTCTACCGATAAGCAAAAAAGAAATAAGAATAAAACTCCCCATACAAACTGCATTTCTTCTATCTATATTGCAAAGAGTAACTAAATATACGAAAAAGGAATTAATTCCTACATTAACAGTAAGTGTTGAGCGTGCTTGGATATTATTTTGATCTTGTAACTGCGCAGCCTGCGCGAGTGCGTGCGATAAGTAATTCTTCCGGTTCCGAATTTGTGCTCTTAATTATCCTCTTCCACTCCTCCAACCTCGATCGCATCCTCAACAGTTTCTGTCTCTGTAGTCGCTTGCTTGGTCTGGCTCGAGAATAGTACCACCAGCCATCCCTGCTATGACGGCTAGTCTTTGACATGTTATCAGAGTCGATTGCCCATCTCTGGGTCCGTCTGATGCGTGTGTTACTTCCATCTTGTCTGGCTAGATCTCAAAATGTGTAAGTGCTTTACGTCAAGAATCCAGGCAGTTTCCGCTCACTCTCCAGCCTAAGAAAATGTTTATCTTTGTTATTATCACTTCCCTGGCTTTAATATAGACCTAAATAATATTAACCGTATCTACTAGTATAGAACCCGCTAAGCTTGTTAATTTCTAGAGTTCCTTACAATATAAAACTTTAGACATATTAAATACGCTGCTATTAAGTGGTTATAGGTTATAAGTATAATGAGCTAGTAGGTAATAACAATATACATTATTTAAGAAGCACGTATCCATTCACTCATCCAGGATTTAGAGTCAGCAATATTTTCAATTTGCAAGAACCATAACGGGCAGATACGCATAAATACATAGCTTTAATATCTATTTAATATAGTGGGTCTTGGGTCAGACTTACCTTCTGGTTAGATTTAAGGAAGATAGACCTGTTTAAGCCACTTAAATACAATATGGTTTTCTGCCCAGCCAAACAACAGAGGGTCACCAAGTCCTCCTATAATACCGCCCTTATTAACGCTAATTAGGTTATCAGGTTTAATCTAGCTATACTTACTAGCCTGAATATTAAAATACTAACTAATAGCAGTTAGGGCATAATAATTAAAGCTTAATGCCTCCTGGCGTCTTTCTATATTTATCTTAATAGATAGATACTGTTTTACAATCCTGGCTAGCTAGTATATACTATAAGCGTTTTCCTGTTATACTATTGTAAAAGGGCATTAATAGTAGCGCGAACTTGACTGTAAGAAGGTATATAGCCTAAAACGTCTTGCTAAAATATCTATTTAACTAATTTAGACCTCTAATACTTAAATGTCAGTTGGGCAAGATAGGTAACCTTAGACTTTAGCGGTATACCTTTTAGTTAGCCTAAAAGAGTTAGCTAAGAGGTGCTATACTTCTGGCCAGCTTGATTTTAAGAGAGGCTATTATTAGTAATGTTTAATATTACTTTATTAATATTATCTTTAATATAAAACGCTTAAGTTATATTTTAAAGTAATTATAAAAGACTAAAGAAAAAAAGAGATCTATAAGTTATAAAAAGACTATTTATAAAGAATATATTAATAGTAATTTTAAGTAATACTATATAACTAAATTCCTAATAAAATATAAAAAGAAAGATATAATATAAAATAAAATAAAATACTTATTAAAGTATAGTATATTTTATATAAATAACTTTAATTTCTAATTAAAGACTATATTAATAAAATTAGATATTTTATATATAAAAACTTATTTTTTACTTATTAAAGTTCTCTTTAAATAACTTAAAAACTACTTAATAAGCTTTTATATTATAATTATATTTACTGTATATATTATAATATTAATTAGTTAATTACTTTAGTCTTTTTACCTCTTTTTATTATTATTTTTTTTTATAATTCTTTTATTATTATTTTTTTAATTAGTTTTTAAAATATAAATAAAACTAGTATTTTATTTTATTATAATATAATTTTAATTATATTCTTTTTATTAAGGCGTTAAGGTTAGAATTATATTTAATTTATATTTTACTATAAGAAATCTATTTTACTTTATTTTAAAGGTTTTAAGGTTTTAAAATTATTTAATTAATTAAAATTACTTATTATACTTTTTATTAAATATTTTAATTATTATTAAATAGATTTTTATATTATATTTATAAATTTTATAAATTTTATATTATTTAATATTTAATTAATTTTTTCTTTTTCTTTATAAGCTATTAAGTATTAAAATATTATATTTATTATTATTATTATAAAGAACCCTAAATATAAAATATTAAAAAAGTATTAAAACTACTTTATTAAAACCTTTTATTAAAAAAATAGTAAATATTTTTTTATTTTTTACTTAAATAAAAATATACTTTTACTTATTTTTAAATTAATTATATATTACTATTAAAAGAGTATTATATAGTTTATCTTTAATTTAAAAATATATTAAAGATTAATAAAAACCTATTTTAAATATATCTTTTATAATAATAAATAATTATAAAAATAAAATATTTAAAAGTAAATTTAAATTTAAATAAATTTAAATAAATCCTTAAAAATAACTTTAAAGTAATTAATAAATAAAAAGTATAAGCAGTAATTAAACTATTAATATTTAAGTAATAGAAATTATAAATTTTTTTTTTTTTTATATTTTAGGTATTAGTATTTAAAACTAAATAAAATAAAAAAGCCTTAATAGAAATATATTATTAAAAATTAAAGAAAAAGGTTAAAAATATATTATATATTATAAATATATTTAATAGTTTCTTTTTTTTTTTTTTACTATTAGTTAAATAAGGTTATTAAGCTTTTAATTTTCTATTTAAAGGCTTAAATAATAAGGCCCTTATAATAGGCCTATATTTTAAAGGTTAAAATTATATAAAGTTTATTTACCTTAATAATATAATTACTGCCTTATTTAAGTAGTATTAATATGTGATAGGTGGGTTTTTAAATAGGGAAATTAGTCTATATTAGGTTTATATTTGCAGATAATATAAGGCATAATGCTAAGCTTATAAAGTATTATATCTCTTAATAATTAAGTAATATATATTAGGCTTATTAATATAAAGATACTTTATTAATAGCTAGTAAGCTAAATTCTATTTAATGTTAAGTAAATATATATATATACTTATAGTAATTAGGTTAGTTCTTTTAGTAATTACTAGTAATTAGAAATAATTATAGAGTAATTATAAATTAATTATTATGCCTTATCTTTAGTTTTTAGTAATTACTTTAATAATTAAATAAAATTAGTAGGGTATATATAATATAACCGTAAGGGTTATAATATAATCTCCCTTTTCTATTAGGTCTTATCCTTAAGACCTATATAATTTAATATTTAAGCTTTTTTTATAAGTTTACATAATTTAGTCCTGTAATTATCTAATTATATCTTTAGTGCCTGCCTATTACTATACTGCTAGGGCTAATCTAATTAACTTTAAAGGTTATAAAGTTATACTTTATATATATTATTCTTAAAAGAAACTTTAGTGCTTTATAAAGTCTAATCTTAATATTTATAGTAAGTATATTTATTATAGGTATTTCTATAATAGTAATAAGGTATCCCTTTTATAAGGTAAGTTTTCTTATATATTTATATAAGTGTTATTTCTTAATAGTTTATTATAGCTAATTATTTAGTAAAGGCTAAGTAAAAAATTAAGATAGCTAAAGAGGCTATTAAGGAGAAGTTAATTAACTTATAGCGTTAATTAAATAAGCGTTTATTGCATTTAATATAACTTTATTATTAAAAGTAAGAGATTTAGATTTATAGTTAAAAGATATTAAAGTATAGTTTTTAGTTAATTAATAAATTAGATAAAAGTAAGTATTAGGAGGCTAAGGCTATTATAGATGTTTATATTAGTGGTGCGGTTAATATAGTAGATTAGTCTTCTATTTTTAATCCTTTTCTATTATTTAATCCTTTTGCTTCTTTTAGTGTTATTAATAAAAATTCTTTAGGAGTTATTAGGTATTAATAAGATATTTTAGTGGTTTTTATATATTTTTGCTTTCTAGGTAGTTCTTTTATTTAATAAGGTATTCTATTTTTTTATTAACTATCTTTATTTCTCTTATTACTTTTACTTTATAGCTTTTTAGTCTTTCTACTTCTATAGGTTTATTATATATTTTAATATAAATTGTATTTACTGCTAACTTAAGTAGTAAAATATAAAAGATAGGATAGATCCTAACCTTTAGTAATAGATCTAATTTATAGTTATTTTTTAAGACCTTTTTAATAATCTTATATAGTTTAATATATTTAAAGTTAAGTTTGTAATTTAGTTATTTAGTAGTAATATTTTTTATAGATAGGTAAACTATATCTCTCTTTATAAAGGTAGGTCTCTTTACCTTTTTAGGATTATAGTACTTTTATATTTATTTTCTAATAAACTTAAGTTCTATCTAAAGTT